TATCTCATTGTGGTTTTAATTTGCATCTCCCTTATTACGAGTGATGTTGAACATTTTTTCATATGCCTGTTGGCCATCTGCATTTCCTCTTTGGTCCAGTTTGTTTTTGATAGAAGTTTAGAGTAGAAAAATTTAGGGTGGAAGTTTTCACAAGAAACCAGAGGTGGGGATTATAGGGTCTTAAACTGGCTATGGAAGTTTCCGGGAATCTGAGGAGGAAGTTGGGCAGAAAGGATTATCAGGCCCTGAAGACTAACTCAACTGAACCCTAAGGAGTAAATTCCACAGTCATTTCATCAAAGAACCTTATATAAGGACACCCTTTGCTCTGATGCCACCCTTGTCCTTTAAGACGACCTGCCTGTGTCATCTCTTTTTCCTCACTAAACCTGCCATGTGTCACAGAAAGGGAGACTGCAGGAATCTTCCTCAGAGGGAGCCAAGAACCCCCATGCACCGAACCCCATCACTTTTCTTTGGTTATTTATATTCCACACACAAATGAAACCTTCAGTAACAGCTTTCACTTTCTGGCTTACCTCAGCAGCATCATGTCAAGGCCCACGGATGTGAGGGAAAGGAGCTCTCATCCACTCTGATGGGACTGTCATGTGTGCAGCCTCTGAAGAAAATGGTATGGAAAATTCTTGGAAAAATAAAAATGGAAATACCCTATAATGCAGCAATACCACTGCTAGTTATTTACCCAAAGAATCTGAAAATCTGGGCCCTCCCTGGCAGCACAAGAGCTTAAAGCACAGCATTATGATGAAGATATCCACAGCCACTGCAGCACAAGTTCAATCTTCAGCCAGGGAGGTGACACACAGATGGCGCAGCAGACCTCTCCTGAACTGTCCACTGCTCCCCTCAGCAGTGTATTTTAGTAGATCTGCCTGTTCTGCTCCCCACTCTGTCTCTGTGTGAAGCCTCTCATCCCCCTGCACCTCTGGCCTGTACCCCAATATTTGTATGCATAAATAGTTAAATCTTTAAAAAATATGAAAATCTAATACAAAAAGACGTATGCAGTCCTAGGTCCATAACATCATCATTCATAATAGCCAAGTTCTCGAGTCAACCTAAGTGCCCAGTGACAGACACCTGGATACAATACTCAAGGGAATACTATGCTGTTATCAAAAGGGACGGAACACTATCTTTTGGTTCTGCTGAATTTAAATAGTAAAGGGACCCTTTGTAAAGGGTCTCCGATGGAGAAGGGATGCAGGGGCGGCATTACAAGACTGAGTCACACAAAGGGGATAGGTAGAAGGGGCGAGTGCAGCAACTGACATAGCCATGACATCAAGGTGAACCCATGCCTGGGATGTCCCTGGGATGCCTGAATGTCTGCAGGAGTTCCCAGCAGAGAACAGACTGTTGGGGGCTGTGTCTGAAGCTCAAATCCAAAAGGTGAAATATAAGGACAGGGAGATGAAGCCTATCAGGAATCTCTTCAGATTCTATTCAAAGTCAACCAACCTATGCTCACTGGGAGTGAGCCCCACCCAGGGAGAGGCTGTCTCTATCAGGGCCCTCTCTGCACCAGCACAGGGCCCACCTGTGCCTATGCAGGTGCTTCTGCCCACCTGTGCCTATGCAGGTGCTTCTGCCCACCCGCTCTCTCCCTCTGCGGGGCAGCAGCGTCCTGCCTGCTCGTGACCTGTACCATGCCGGGACTCCTCTGCACTGACCTCCCTCAGGGGAGGCCTCTCTCCTAGGACCACTCGCCTGCAACCATGCAGGTCTCTTCCCTGCAAACCTGTCCCTTTCGGGGCAGCTCTTTCTGCCCGCTTGTGTCTATGCAAGTGTCTTTCCTCTCCTGTCTCTTTCTAAGAAACTTACTCTTTAAATATAATAGTCTCTGCCTCGTGGAGAATCTCGCTGCGTGCCGCTGAAAGGGGAGCTCTAGTGAAACTGTTATAGGGTGTTCCTTAGGAAAAGGGGGAGTCCCTGGCTCCCTACCCCACCCAGAGGTAGGGTGGAGCTGAGCAGAGAAAAGAAGAAAGAGAAGGAATCTGAGGAGGAAGGAAGCAGGATGGAGAGCCAGAAGGAGACCTGAGGAAGCCACAGGGAGCAAAGGGAGACGTGTGAAGAAGCCGTGTTTATTTCTTGGCTCTGGACTGGTTGAAACAGATGCAGGTGAGAGACCTGTGGGAAGGTTGACTATGGCCGTGTTTATCTTAATTTTGATTGTGCTCTTTTCCTCCCAGACTTGTCTGGACATTTCTGACCCTTTTCTATGGATCCCAGCCAGAAGGTGCTTTAGTCTTGTGGTGGCTTTCAGGCCTTGCTCTGGGCCCATCCCTTTTGGGTGGACTTTTGCCCACAAGGGCTGGGTAACTTCAGGTGTTTGACTTTAGAAGTTATATTCTTTGTCTTCTGTGTTGTATACTCACTGTTTTAAAGTCCCTTTTCATTAAAGTTCTATATGTTTTGTCTTGATGCGGCAGATGGCAGAACCTGTTTGGATCAGGCAGGTTTGGGGCTTCATTCTCTCCCATCCCTGTAACAGATTCATCTTGTCCTGAAGTGTTGGGTGGGAACTTGCTACAGTGGGTCTTTTGCCTTCTAGACAACGAATTACCAGAGACCTCCAGGAGCAGTTGAACAGGTAAGGCTTTATTAGAGTCTTCGTGTATGAGGGTCCTGGAAGGAAGCTCGGAGAAGATATTTAAAGGCCCGGTCTATGGGGCAGAAGATGGCGGCATCATAGATTGTTCTGGGTTTGGCTACCCTTGGGCAGTTGAGTTACATTCCAACTTCTCATACAGCCTGTCAACCTTCTCCCTCCAGGAAATTGTGAGATAGATCATTAGTCAGAATATATATATATATATATATTTTGCTAGCATGGCACCTTACGGCCAGAGGGGTGGACCAAGTTGTTGGCACAGGGCTCTCCAGCCAGCCCTTGACTTCGTCTTCCTGTTCATTTGGGACTGGGGGCAACTCTTACCTCCCACTTGCCATTTCTTTCACCGAGGCTGTCTCACGCCCAGCTTTTCAGAGGCAGCTGGGTTCTTCCAGTGGGGCACAGACTGACCCCCTTTTATTGAGACAGGGGTCCCTGCCCACAGCAGCCACCCCATTTTATGCACTTCCCACTGGTTTCTCTTCTGCCTGACTTGACCTGATGATGAACTTCAGGCAGGGAACAACTTGGGAAAATCCCTACTCAGGCTTGCTGGAAAACTCCCAAGGAGGGGACAAAGGCCATCCTGAATCTGGACAGAGCAGAACTGATTGCTGGTGGACCAGGCCAGGGGAGCCAGGATTGAGGTGCAGGCCATTTTAATTTTCTTTGTCTTTACACAGTGGTGGGTCCAGAATGTCACAGAGATCCTCTCAGAGGAAACTGACTGGATTATCTGTTTTATCTCTGATAAACTTCTTTGAGTAACTGCCAGTAACCTTTACCAGCCTGTTTTTAAATAATTCATAAAAGCGGCTGGCTTTATTTGAACATCATTGGGGTTTCTTTCAGTTGCTTGAACAGAAATGCATTGTTACAGTCAACAGAAATATGTGAATGTCTCCCTATAATTTTACACGCAAACACATGCAGTTTTCTGTTTCTAGTTTCCCGCCCCATTCCTTTGCCCTTAACCTTATAATAAGCTCATTCATCTGTAACCGGACTTGGCTGCACGCTGTTTTTAAAGCAGAGTTAGTCTGTGCAGTTGCTGTCCCCGGTGAACGGGGATTTTTGGAAACGGTATCCAGAGAGGCCAGGCAGGGAATGGAGCCCTAGAAGCCGGCGGCCCTGACTCTGAGGAAAATGTTTGCGGTCTGCTGCTGGCCAGTCCCTGCAGCTGCGAAGATCGAGCTTCTGTCCTTTACCTATAAGATACCTCAACGTTCTGCCCGTGATAAGAAACAGTTCCTCAGGAGAGAGAAACGGGTCTGGGCAGACTTCCTCAGGCGCGGTGACTGCAGCCGCACAAACACCGCTCCATCTTCCATTTCAATCCCAGAGAAGACCCGCCTGACTGGGAACGTGTTTGGAGCGGCGGGTGGGGCCAGGGCGGGGCTGCGGGAGACACTTCCCAGCCAGCCCAGGAGAGATGGGGCGAGGACACTCTGTGGCAACCGGAGGCGCGTCCCTCAAGCGTCCTCTCCGCGGCAGCCGCTGCCCGCGGCGGCACCCCGCCGAGGCCCCCTAGGTGGCGGGGCTCTGGCGCGCCGGCACCGCGAGAGAAGCGCAACGTCTGGCGTCCGCGAGGAGAGGACGCGACAGCACGCCGAGGGTCACCCCGCGCCAGCCCTCGGGCGTCCCGCGGCAGGCC